TACGTAACGACGAGTAACGTCGTACGTACGTCCGTACGTTACCCGTAAACCTACCCTACGTATATATATATATATATATATAATATATATATATATACAATGAGACCATTTACCTTTGGTACAAGGTAGTCACAATTAATCATGACCATTAGATGTGAAGTTGGGCGGCTGCATTTATTTCATTGACCAAACTCAAAGTTTAAAAGAAACTTTATCAAACTTTGTGATACACCCAAGCTATCAAAATTTACATCGTATGGTTATAAGTAATTGTGATTTTCTTGTACCAAAGATAAATTGTCTCATTGTATACAATCCTTATATATATATATAGGCTTATCTAATGTTTTTTTAGGTTACCTTTAAGTTCCCACCCCATAACCCCTATTTTAATTTTATTTTTATTTTTTAATATTTTTTTAGATTACCAATTTAGACAAGTCCAAACCCAATCTGAATGGTCGCTCTAGAAATGCAACAGAGATGTAAGGGTGAACAATCCGTACACAATCCAAATTTTGAAACATTGCGGACTACAATAGACCATCTATGGCTGAAATGTCAAAACCCAATTAACATAGAAAATGAAAAGATATCTCATTCTATAACAATCTTCAAAGCCATTAATTTTCATTTCAATGGGTATACCTATTCAAAGTCATTTTAATAACTGTCGCCACAACTTATTAGTCATACTAATTAAATAATGGATAATGGGTTATGTTAGGGTGCTTTGGAGTAATTATCATTGTACTCAACAATTTTGAACACTTTTATATATTTGTTTTGTACATGGAGCATATTTTTATTAAAGGTATTTTTGGTCATTAAGAATGTGTGATGTCATCCACATGGGGTGTGATGTCATCCACATGGAGCATTAAATATTACTAGTATGCTCTATGTGGGTGATGTTACACTCCATATTGATGACGCCATACATTCGTAACGACAAAAAATACCCATATTAAAAAAATGCTCCAAGTACATAACGAAGTTTTAGAAGTGTCCAAAACTGTTGAGTATAATGATAAATTACTCTATAGTGTGAGCATCCTTTCATAACCCTTTTAGAATGACATGAGAATCCATTTTTATCTTTAACTATAAAATTTTAACTCTAAAAATAGTTCAAATCAACCAGATCTATAAATACAATAAATTCTTGAAAATAGATGGTTTAGAAAATTTATTGTAAGATGCATTATTTTTAGGACTCAAAATAGTCTTTTTTGATAGGTTTTCCAACATCAAAACAATCTTTTTTGAAGGTGCATCTTAATTATACATTTTAAGGTTGCAACCTTATGTAAACATTTTCATATTTCGAATATATTGAACTTTAGTAATTTTTCCCAGGACAAAGAGTGTATTTTTGGCTTCTTGAAAACCATAGGAGAATGGCATTGCCAATAGGGATCCCAATTGGGTCGGGTTCACCGAACCCAAGTCCTGGTCTGGACCTAGTTAGTGGACCCTACAAGTTGGGTCCAGATTCAGGTTTATTCCAGACCAAATCTGATCAGGTTGGGTCTAAGTTAGGGTCATTCCAATCCAATACATACATAATTTTTTCTTTATCATACCCGGACCCAACCCATTCTCAACCAATTTACAGCCTTAGACCCTAGTTGCAAAAAATAATGGAACTGAGGCATCAGGAGTAAGGTGAGAAGTTCATGCAAGCTAATCGATGTGAGTAAAATTTTTTGGTTTATTTGGTGACTCACAAAAGTCTACTTGATGTTTCATAAGAACATGATTGGGTAAACTAACCTTAAAGTCGTCTTCATGCGCACTTGATGTATGGGAGAATACAAGTAAGAAAGTAAACGTATGCCCGTAGGCTAAAATGAACATAGAAGGAGATTTAAGTGAGGACGCAAATGGCTAGGCGTGGGCCTGCCCAGCCTCGGCCCTGGCCTGCCCTTTATCCCCATAGGGCCGGCCTTGTCCCTATTAGGGCCGGGCCAGGCCAGGCCAAAAATAAACAAAAAATAATAATAGAAAACACGAAAACTATCAAAGTAAGGCATGCATCCAAAGTATGTCGAAAGATATAGTTTTGATGCCAAAAAGCCTTACGAATGCTTCAGAATCTATTTTCACCACTAATTATGAAATTTAAATATAAAGAAATGGAATAGATCGAACATATATATAAACATTTGAAACTTCTAAAAATAGATTGTCCAGACAAAGTATTACAAGATGCAATATTTCCATGACTTGAAATCTTCTTCATCTTTTTTTCATGCCGATATTTCTTAATGTTGAGATGATCAATATGAGGGTTTATAACATTGAAACAACCTTTTTTGGTTGGTTTTTTAGCTGCACTTTACTAGTATATGAACTTTTTCCTTAATAAAATAGGTGGGATTCTCGTACAATCCCCTTATAGGTCTAAATATATTAATTAGGGAAAGAAGTTTGTATTGATCAAGTCGTAATGAAATCAGGAATTGGGATTGGGTGTGATTGGTTAGCAGTTGATGTCAAACAATTCTATATCTCAAGTTGAATTACTACTGCTGAACTACCAAACAAAAAAAATTGTAGTTAAATTAAGTATCCATAACATATTAAAAAACACTCTAAATACATGAAACCTACTCAGAACCGTGGTTTACTTACGAATGAAGCTTCACAAATATCAATTGGTTCGTTTGTTTTACATCCGAACATACGCTTAGCATTGGTTCAGTTGCCAAAACATCGACATGAGAATCAAACTATATTGCATTGCTAGAATCCATGTTGTACATTTGAATGAGGTTGACCTCCTTGTTCTTTCATGTTGCTTTTATAGAAGCGTACTGCCCATTGTTTAAAAAAACGCCGAGTCGAACCGGACTCACCCGGTTTGATTCGGGAATCGTCATGGACGGATCGAATCAGCGAAAAAAACGGGAATCATCCGGTTCTAGAGAGAACTGGACGATTTTGCACATTGACTCGCCTATTCATTGTACGGAATCGGCGAGTCCCGTACGCAATTTTGTTTTTTTATTTTTTATTTATTATTCTTTTTTTATTTTTATTTTTGTAATCCATGATAGATTTTTTTGTAATACTTGATCGATTTTTTTGTAATCCATGATCGAATTTTTTCTTTTTTTTTTTGTAATCCATGATCGAATTTTTTGTTTTTTTTTTTTTTGTAACCCATGATAGAATTTTTTGTAATCCATGATCAGATTTTTTGTAATCCATGATCGAAATGTTTGATTTTTTTTTCTTGTAATCCATGATCGAATTTTTTGTTTTTTGTTCTTTTTTTGTAAACCATGATAGAATTTTTTGTAATCCATGATCGAATGTTTTGTAATCCATGATCGAAATGTTTGTTTTTTTTTGTAATCCATGATCGAAATGTTTGTTTTTTTTTTGTAATCCATGATCGAAATTTTTGTTTTTTTTTTGTAATCCATGATCGAATTTTTTGTTTTTTATTTTTTTTGCAACCCATGATAGAGTTTTTTGTAATCCATGATTGAATTTTTTGTAATCCATGATCGAATTGTTTTTTCTTTTTTTGTAATCCACCATCAAATTTTTTGTTTTTTTTGTAATCCATGATCGAATTTTATGTAATCCATGATCGAATTTTATGTAATCCATGATCGAATTTTTTGTAATCCATGATTGAATTTTTTGAAAATTTGTGAATTTTTTTTTTAATCCATGATCGAATTTGTTTTTGTAATCCTTGATAGAATTTTTTGAAAATTTGTGATTTTTTTTTTTTAATCCATGATCGAATTTTTTTTGTAATCTATGATAGAATTTTTTGAAAATTTGTGATTTTTTTTTTTAATCTATGATCGATTTTTTTTGAAAAAGATAATAAAAAATAAAAAATTAAAGTGAGACTAGTTCGTAAACAGAACTTGTCTGGCTTAACCAATTCCCGATCCGAACAGGCGAGTTCCAATCCGGTTCGCCAATTTTTAAAGCACTGGTGAGTGGACTATATAATATAGCTGCTAACCCGTCATCTAAAAAACCAAAAATGAAATTTAGTATAAATCACAGTGGCACCAGAGGGTCCTTGTATTTCATATATATTTTATAGAGAGAAATACTGGGACTACAAAAAGAAACCACCAAGAGAGAGAAAGAGAGGAGAGAGAGTAGTCACCCGGGAATCTAGAGAGAGATGCTGACAAAGGCTGTCCCCCTGGTAGGCCATTGGTCAATTTTTTCTGACAAAGACTTCAGAACAGAAAAGCGAAGCCGCTTCTCTCTCTCTCTCTCTCTCTCTTCCTCTCTCTAAATTGTAAAAACTAAAAACAGTACTAAATCTCTCTCTATCACTACATACTTCAGCAACGCCTTTTGATCTTGCAACTCGTCCACAACTTTATTCTTTGTTTTTTCTCTCCCGTTTTCTTTCCCCCGTCTTTTTTTTTTTCATTTTTGTCTTCTTTTTTTTTTTTTCTATTTTTGTTGATGTGAAATGGAGAAGCGCCATCTGTAAATGCCTCTTTTCGTTCTCTCTCTACTTCATCGTTCGCGGCGAAAGAAGACTCTGCAACATCTCCAGTAATGAAGTGTTTGTGCTACCCCTCTAGTTCGGATCTGTAAGTCCTGGTATGTTTTCTGGATTGGTCTCTTACCCCTTTGCCCTTTCCTTTTTGTCTTTCTTCGCTTCTAATTGCTTTTTTATGGCCATTTTTGCGTTGAATCTTGCTGAATGTTGTTGCATTGTGTGTATTTACTGGTTGCAGAGTTAATTGCGGGAATTGAGAGTCTCTCTTTTTTTTTTTTTTGCGTAATGGGAGCTCAAAATTTTGTTTTGTGATGAGTTTTTATTTATTCTTTTAAGAAAGGTAAATAATTGGGAAATATTGAACAATGCTGCATTGAGCTATGCGTTTGGCAATGGAATTGAAGAATTCATTATTGGATTTGATGTTATAAAAAATTGGTGAATTGTCATTGTCAGCTGAATCAGGCATAATTCATATATGTATTTATATTTCCTTAGGCATTGGTTATTGCATTTCTATTGTGTACAATGAAATTTAAGAATCTCCAAAGTGTCTTTCAATGTGGCAGGGATAAATCTTGTTTTAGAAATCCATGTTCGTTTTCTCTTTGAAGCTCAGTCACCCAGTCATCAATTGAATGTGATATTCATTGAGAATGTTCCTTTTAACGAGGTCAAAGCAAGCATTGGTTATAAAACTCATCAGGGTTGAAACATAAGTTAAATCATCTGCTTGTAGATTAAAAATAGGGAAAAACTTCATAAAAGCTTTCATTGAATATGAAGAAAATAGAAAAAGTAGTTGTCACTGATTTTTTATTTTGGGTGCCGGAGTGAGGGGTTGAGGGGATGCACGTTCTTATTTTTGCTTGATTTCTACCCAATGCATGTACCATAGGTGAGGTTGCAAGAACTGGTATCTTTAACTTTCCTTTTTGGAAATTATAGACTCTGTATTTTATTTTGCTTTGAATATTTTGGGCTATAAAGTGAGTCAAGGCCAGTAAGGTGACGGAGGAGACCTAGACCAGATGTGGCCTTCTGTGATCTCTATCAGCTATGTGTATTCATACTTTTTTACTGCATCTGACAGTTTATGTTTGCTGTTAAATATGAGTTTTCTTCTTTTTCATTGAATGGTTCCCCTACTAAGAGCTGTAGGTTATAGATTTCGGAACGCTGGGCTGTGTGATTGATAGAAGCTTATGCATGGATCGTTTTCTGTATATGATTTATATTTTTATGGCATTTCATGGTTCCTTGACTCTCTGAAAATTCGATAATCATGTACCACATCCAGATATATCTTTCACTCTTTCAGAGTTCTGTACACGATCTAAAGTTGATGTCTTCCATCCATTAAGTAGAGAATCACGCCACTTAAAATGGCAGAATTCTACGGTCTGCCTTTTCTTTAGGTTTTACATTGTTCTTATCATGAAGCTCTGATGAATACTAACAGATCTGTTCTTACTCTTTCTTCATTTCTTTCATTTTAATAGATAAATTCTTCTGCCTGATTCATTCCAGGCATTCATAATGGATCTCTAAAATCAGTCTGACCCGACGTGCTGCAAGTTTGAGACACACCTCTAAGTTGTTCATTTGTAAACGTGTGTATTAGTTGACTGTTGCCCCTAGCCATGGTTCTCGGGTTGAGAACTAAGAACCGAAAAGGATCTACAGTCAATGTAGATTATGTCATCCACATTCAAGAGATTAAACCGTGGCCACCATCCCAGTCTTTGAAGTCTCTTCGCTCTGTGACACTGCAATGGGAAAACGGTGAACGCCAATCTGGTAGCACAAAGATTGTTACCCCTCTCACTGCAGATGGAAAAATCGAGTTTAATGAATCCTTCAGGCTTCCCGTCTCCTTATGCAGAGACTTATCTGCAAAAACTGAGACATATCAGAAGAACTGTTTGGAAATGAATCTTTATGAACCGAGGAGAGACAAGACAAAAGGGCAGCTTTTGGGTAGTGCTATGGTGGACTTGGCAGAGCATGGGATTTTGAAAGATGCGGTGAGTATTAGCGTTCCAATGAATTGCAAGAGGAGCTTCAGAAACACTGCTCAACCTGTTGTGTATATTCAAATTCAACCATTTGAAAGAGACAGTGCCAGTTTCTCATCGAGGGATTCTCTAGCAAAAGAGTCATCTCTGGACAAGGATGATGGCAAAGAATCTATCTCTACTTTGATGAGTGAAGAGTATGCAGAGGAAGCTGAAATTGCATCTTTTACTGATGATGATGTTTCCTCACACTCTTCGTTACCTGGTTCTCCATCTGAAGCTGAGGCCAGAATCCAAGAATCAGGTGACACTGGAGATTCCAGGCAAGGGGCTGAAGAGGTATGGATTGTTGCATAAATCTTTTTGCATAACTCTTTTTTAATGTATCCTAACTTTTGGGTGGGTGGCTACTATGGTTTGCGATTTTATTATTGTCCTAATGGAATGTTTAACCGCTAAGCAGAATTGCCTTGCACATGATGTTTACAATTGAAGCTAGAATGCTATATCCTTTGTGGCCTCCCTTGCTTCTTGTTTAAGAGAAATGGAAGTCTTCCTCTTGATGTCACTTCACAACTTTATTGGGTTATTCTGTAGTTATTCCTTATACGTATGGCTACCTAGATGTTCTAGATCTAGAGTGATGTGATAGATGAAGGGTTCGTGTCACGTTTATTCAATGTGGCTAAGCTGTGTTATTGGACGAAACTTAGAAATTGTGAAGCATTCCAACTTTATTATTTCTTATTTAGTATGAAGTGGCATCATGAAGTTTAAAATAGGTTCTGTTATATGATTGAAAAATTTAAAAATAGTTAATGAAACTTATATAGTTTAAAAAAGATTGTTGTGTCCATTGTAGCCTTTTGTTACTATTGCAATCTTTTACTCCTGATTCAGCAGTGAAATATCTGAGTGCTCAGCCGGCTAGCCTGCAAGTTGGTATTATTGGATGGTTCTTTCCAAAATATTCAACTCGTCTATTTGGATACTAAGTAAGACTGGCCAACATTGGATTGAGCGTGCAACTTGAGAAGATGCAATTCCTTACTGAGTCCTAAATGTGTATTGTTTGATATATCAGAAAAGAATAAAATTGCTCTTCTGTTTGATGCAAAACCCTAAAACTAGCTGGGAATGTGATAAAAAAAAAAAAGCCCTAAACTAGCTGGGAAAATAACAATGAGATGCACAACCCTTCAAAGGATGATTATGCCTTTGTATGTGACATTTATACAATATATCATGACCATTATGTTTCTTAGGTTCTATGCAATAACATTATAGAATGAATATTGGAAAACTCATCCTCAACATTACAAATTAGGGTTTTGATAATTAATTTTCCCTCCAAGTGGTGTAATAGAGTGAAAAATTTGGTGGAAACGTTAACTGGTCCATTGCAGATGAAACATGTGCTAGAAGCAGTGTTTTAAAATCGCCAGGTCGGAATAGAACTACCTGATCCGAATGGGTAATTATTGGGGATTGTCTTGGTTCTCCAATTATATCGGGAATAGCGGTTCCTGCTAGAACTGGTCTGTTCTTTGACAGAACCGGTGGCCGGTCAGATTGCCCGTTCCCACTTTTTTATTTTTATTGCTTTTATTTTTTTATTGGCCGATTCTCTTAGCTGGATCGCTGATCTGGACTGGTTTCCTAGATGGCCATTGATTCGAGTTTTAAAAATTGCTTAGAAACTATGTCCTTTGGTGATCTTTTTCGCATTAAGGGGCACCCTATCTCAATGTTCGTTAGGCATTCATGGAATGCTAGATCAGGGGCAATCTGAATGGCACTAATATTATTTGCATGTAGGGAAGTGGTGGCGTTGAGAGGAAAATCCATGTTGTGAAGCACGTTGCATGGCTAAATAATCTCACTATGAGTTGAAGGTAGTGCCCAATCCAAGCTCGTTGTGTCTTTGAGAGCCCATATAGGACCTTCTTAAACTGTTGCATCAATTGAGCCATGAGACTATTACCTTGGGATCAAGACATTTGAATATCTTCTTTCAAGTATCAATGAGGTAATACATATATAAAATCCATTCAATTGGTATCCGCTTGTTGTAAAGCTGCACAAATCGATGGTGTTTGAGATGTAGTCATTCTGGTGGTGAGGCAAAGATCTTTGTGTGATCTATATTATACTACTGGTGTCATTGAGCTGCAAATTTGCATTTATACTTTCATAATGTTCCAAATTGCCATCAGACTTGGAAAGGAAGCCAAATTCAACATGTCGCTCAAGCATGTAACTCTCATTGGGTGGCATCTCTTCAAGATTGAGAATGGGCAGTGTGTTTTCAAAAGGAACATAAGGATTTCCAAAGTTGCAAGAAAATTGTGTTTAAAAAAAAGGGTTCGCCTAGCACCTAGGTGCCGGAATGACCTTAGGGTGCACGCCCAGTCTAGGCGGCCCAAGCGGGTGCCTCGGTGGGTCTCCAGTGCCTAGTCTTTGGTTGGTGCCTGGGGCCTGCACCCTTTCCTATGGAATTAAAAAAGGCCCTTGGGGCATTGTGGTTCATTTTGACCCACAAAATTTATATAAATGAGTATTGGGAGTATTCTAAAACCCCCAAAGTGAAGAACATTTTGAATCTAAGCCCCCAAATTGATTTCCTTGATGGTGAATTGTCCCTTGCCTCTGTAGGTACAATATTTTTTAGATCTATCGATGCTTATGAAGAAGTTCATGATGCACATTATATACTTTTTTATTGATAAGGGCATTGAGGAGGTTAGGGAGGAGCATGTAATTCAAGTGTCACAAATAATGCTGCTCCTAATTTTGGACAACTTGTAGTGTATATTGCATAGACCTTATGCTTGAGGCCAATAGCGACTTGTCTAGTATTAAAGGGATACTTTCAAAGGCTAAGGAGGTCACAATCTTCATATACAGCCACACCATTAACCTTAGCAGTATGTGCAAGTTCACAAAAGAGGAGGAGCTAGTGGGGCCTGGGGTCACCAGATTTACTACTGCTTACCTGAGTCTTAAGAGGATATATGGTAGGAGGATCCCATTGAGATCTATGTTCTCTTCAGAGGAATGGAGTAGGTGTAGGAGGTCTAGAGATCCCAATGGAAAGAGGGCCTGTGATACTATTCTTTTTAAAGCTTTTTGACGTGGGGTCAAGCACTCACTAACAGTATTTCTACCTTTGGTCAAGGTCTTGTGCTTGGCTGATGTTGACAAACCCTCTTGGGCTTTATATATGATGCACTGGAAGGTGCTATGAAGGAGATGGTAGAGGATTTGGGCAATGATGAGGCCAAGTGTGGCCCAATTTGGGAAATTATAGTATGAGAAGTGGAATAAGTAGCTTCATAGACCATTGCATGAACCTGCGTACTATTTGAATCCAAAGTTCTTATATGCTGACCTAGATATTGGGTGGAAAGATACAATCATGGATGAATTTAATGAGTGCTTTGAGACTAGTTCCTGATGTGGAAATCCAAGATAAAATTTCCGCTAAGGAGCGCATTTTGTTTAAGTGTGCTTGGAAGTTGCTCAGGAAAGAAATAGTGGTAAGACAAAGAACCAAATTAGATCCAAGTACTATATTTCATTTGAAAATTTTCTTCCAAATTCCTAATGACTAATCATGTTGTATTTTGAAGTCTCTAAAATTCTTTATGATAATTTCAAATTGCAACCTAATGGTGGAGTTACATGTGAGTAGTGCTTCAAACCTCCAGAAGATGGCTATTCAGATTTTGAGTTTAACAACTAGCTCTTGTAGTTATGAATGGAATTGGAGTTCGTTTGAGATATTTCTTTTTGTTCTTTTCTTGTTTAGTTGTTTACAAGCTCATTTTTCTATTATGGAGGGTACAAACCTAGAATACATTAGTACCAATTTAGATGGCTCACTAGATGCATTTTTTCTTATTGGTGTATACAAAGAGAAGAAATAGGGTTGAGCAGAGGAAGCTCAATGAGTTGGTATTTGTTGGAGAGAATAAGAGTCTTAAGGAGAAGTTCAACCGACAAAGAGGGATCCCATCGCTTCAAAGGATAAGGAGAATGCAATTGAGTGGCTGGACGAAGACCTAGGTACTACAGAGGTCCTCCTGGGGAGGGTTTGACCTAGGATATGGTTGAGGCTTCGGGTCCAACTTCTAATCCTTGGAGGACCACTCTAGCAGCAATTGCTGTTGGTACTTCCACTTCACAAAGGATGAGGGAAATAGAGGAGAAGGAGGAGGCAGATTCAGAAGAAATTCAGGAAGATGAGCAATATGTTGAAGAGGATGATGATGGCCTTCATTCAGATGGAGACCGAGATGCAAGTGATTATGAAGATTCAGTCTAGTGACGATTGAAGAAAAAAAGATGTCCTTGTCTTTTGTATTTCATAATAGTCTTGTGTTGGACTTTGGACATTTGGAACATTGGTTTTATGCTTTTTCTTTGTATTTCTGTCATCTTGTTTAGTTTTGATCGTGTGTTACTATGGAGTGTGCCATAGTTGATTGAGTGTTGGAGGCTAATACACCATGGACTTGTTTATATTTTTGAATCCTTTCGCTAAATCTTCAATGATTTGAAGTTCTAAACGTGTTGCAACACTCATGTGTTTATATTTGCATAGAAAAATTTAGTTAGAATACATACTAAATGCAAGAAACTGCTAAATTAACACAAATATCTGCATCTATGTGCTTTTGAACAGCACATATATATTGCAAATTTCTAAAGCCTTTTTACCTCAGGGAGCCTGAGGTTTTGAGCGCCCGCCTGGGCACCAGACCGGTAGGGGCCGCCTAGCATTTTCTGAAACATTGCAAGAAAAGGTGAATGTGTTATTCAGTTAAGAGCTATCATAGTCAGGCCGGACATATGTGCCTGGTTGGAATGTGAGAGTTGAACTAATATAAAACTAGATGAGGGGAATCTGCACACTAAACTCCTTATTTCGTCTCCATATTCAACAAAAAAAAAATTATTACATATTAAAAAAAAAATTATTTCATATTCATAAAAAAAAAAAACATGTTGCGTCTTTACGCTTGGAAAAGTTAGGGAGCATCCATGAAGGCATGTGCATCTGGAAGACCTAACATAGAATCAATCTTCAAAAAGATGAAGGGCTGCCTAGGCGGTCGGGGGCTGCAACAGCATGGGCGGCCGCCCTTGGCGGCCACCATGTAAATGAAAGGGGGGAGGGGGGTTAGGGACCGCCTAGGGCGATTAGTCGGCTGCCCTGGGCAATTAGTTGGCCACCTAGGGCCACCATCCTGCACTTGGCCAAGTAGTCCCAGCGCGGGATGGTCAGGCCTTCTAACCACCTGGGCGGCCCCCCCAGGCGGCTGGGCAGCTGACTTTTTGTACATAGCATGGAATGATAGGAAAGTATGTTGAGATAGGTACATGTGAAACTGCAACAGAATAAGTTTCAGGTGATATATAAAATGGTATATTTCTAGAAAGGCTATCTCTATGTTAATATAGGTACATGTGAAACTGTAACAGAATAAGTTTTCTGTGATGTATAAAATGGTATATTTCCATGAGGTCACAATAATTCTTTTGGAGTCTCCTTATGATGCAGAGAAATAATTTTCATGTAGTGTGCATTGAAGTTGTCGTGATCATGGGGGGCAGAAGAACAAGACAACACATCCTGAAAGTTCTGCATCTTTTATGGTTATTCTAAATGATATTAGACAAGATGATTTTGAAAGAAGGAGACATAAAAGTATCATTGAGAATAGTAGGAGGTAGCCCATTGATGAGATGAACTAATGTTAATAGGGGTTATGCTCAAGAACATTTTAGTCCACACAATTCAATGGGCTAGTTATTTGTGGTTTCAATGATAGTGTGATTTTTAACTCTATGGGCAATTTCTCTAATTATGATCGCTTTACTAGTAAGAAAAGGAAAAGATCATGGAAGATAAACTCTCCCATTTACTCCGAATGGAAGATTTAATTTCCTTGTTCATGCTTGAAAAGGTTTTAAATGCAATCAAAACCTCATATTTTGATTGAGAAGGGATTAAAACATTATGCTTGGTGGGAAATGGTCATGTGATGCATGCAGAACAATGTAAATTGCAAAATCATATGAACGTTTCTGTATAAGCATATTTCTCTCAATTTGTTGTGTATGAGTTTGAAAAACGCATGCATGCCTATGAAATAATTAATTTGTACATGTTCATATTTGTTTTGTAGTTTTTTTATATAAAGTGACCTGTAGACTACAAACTTCTGTTTCTTCTAATGATTATGATTTAGGACATTTTGCATCAGTATATGTGGTTAACGTATTACATCTCCATGTAGTCTCAAGCATACCATGTGTGTGTATTTCTTTGATGCTTCAAAGTCTTCTTTGGTGACAATATCTCATTTGAATCCTTGTATGCATCAGCGTTGTCATCTGAAAATCAGATAAGATGGGGCCAGTCCTAGAGTCCCTGTGCGCCATTCCCAGACAGATGGCAAAATGATGCAGTCTATTTGTAAATAGGAAGGATAAAAAATTAAAAACTGTGGAATAGAAAAGGGAATGCCACCTTTCTCCTGTGTGTTATCATTCTATAGGAAATGTTTGCCTTTAGGAATTGCATTACTACTCCTGTCAATTGCATTATTTTGAATTATGAAGAAAGATTCCACATTGCCTGGCAGTGGCTACAATAGAAACTGCATTTAATTCTCTTGTAGATATGTGTGTGTGTATGTGTGTAGGGTATTCTAGAATACACCACTCTAATAGTGAACTTAGGATTCTTACTCCAAAAGTTTTACCACAAATACTCTTACAAATTTAAAAACTGCATTAGTAATAACTTCTTTGAAAATTTCAGGAGAGGGCATATTTGTAATATTAAATTGCTTCTAAAATTCAAACATGATCTAAAAAGTCAAAGGAATTTTATATAATTTTAATTTGATTTTTTGAGGGATTTGAAATGACAAATATGCTACTTCAAAAATACACGAAGAATTTATGTCGAAAGTCTTTTTTGAATATTTAAAAAGGTATTTTTGTAGTAAAATATTTAGAGAAGCACCGACACACAAGCATATATGCACAGTTACTTTAATTTTAAATATATCTTCAAATTAAGAGTATACGTGTGTATCCCATTTGTCCTGTTGTGCTGAAACCTAATCTTATTCTTTGCATATCTTTATATGGTCTCCTAAGAACATATTGTAAAATGAATGCAATAATGATATGGTTTAAGTTTCCTTCCAAATACAGAGTCCTGGTGAAGCTACTAAGGAGAGCAGAGAAAAGGTCAGCATGCTGCCTGCCTTACCTCTGGAATCACCGGCTCATAACAACTCTACACCAATCACTAAGAAACCCGCAGCTCCTGAAGCTTCTTCTTCATCCATTACTCCTGAAGGTGTGAATGTTGAAGATGGATATAATGGCGATACAAAGGGTGCTGATAATAATAACATAGTGGTGGCTAATGAAAAGGAGGTTGCCCTTAATGGTGAAGTGAAGGAAACTATTTTGCACTTGACAAAAGAAGAAAATAATTCATATGGTGTAAACTCTAGAATTCAGTTTAGTGATTCAAAAATACAATTAGGAGACAAGACGCCATCTTTTACTGACTCTACTCACTCCAACTCAAGCTTTGAAAATGATGGACAAAATGGGACAGAGGATGTAAAAGTGAATAAGATGGTTATGGAGGAGCACAAAAAGGATAATCATCCAATTGGTCATTATGAATATCTTGAAGTAGACAGTGAACATTCTGAGGATGAACAGCTTGCAAACATTCCCAGAAAGGATGTTAATCTCAAAATTGAGAACAGTTCTCATGCAATGGCTGAAAGTGAGGAACCAATCCCAGAAGTTAAGCAGCTGCCTAAAATGTCACAAGGTAGTTTTATAAAGTCGACAAAAACAGGCAATGACTTGCAGAGTAATAACTGGGGTGCACCATCAAATCCTAGAATTTCAACTGAAAGCCAAACACAGTATAAGATGACATCTGTTAACCATCCACATGAGTCATCAGTGTGTGTATCATCAGAGACCGATGATGACAATGTTGAGGTGGAAGAAGTAAAGGAAATTGATGTTCTGGGGGATTCTCCCAATGATAAAATTCTTAGGAACAATAAACAAAGACCTAATCTGCATGAGAGTAGTGTTAACAGTCACAAAGCTAAATATGTTTCTAGAGAGAGGAGTAGCATTTTTTCTGATACTAAAATCCAGCGCTTGGAGCTGAAAATTGAGGCACTTGAGGCAGAATTGAGAGAAGCTGCTGCAACTGAAGTTGCACTTTATTCCATAGTTGCAGAGCATGGTAGTTCATCACATAAAGTCCATGCTCCAGCTCGACGCCTGTCAAGGCTATTTATTCATGCCTGCAAGCATTGGCCCACATATAGAAGGGCAAGTACTGCTAAAAGTATTGTTTCAGGACTAGTTTTAGTCGCAAAAGCCTGTGGAAATGATGTGCCAAGGTACGTTAAAACTCATGCTGCATGCTCTTTATTTTTTTCTGCAAGACCTTTTGGCTTACATGCTCTCCAATCTGATCTGAGCTATTATCTCCATGACTCTCTTTTGTCGCAAAGCTTCACACACAATGTCTTGCTTGTCTTGTTTATGATGGACAGATACTATAATTTCCCTTTTTTGTTCTCAATGTATGTAAACTTGGTATTGTACTAGTTATGTCTCTAAACCGTTCACATAAGTACCTTGCTTCTTATCCAGGTTAACATTTTGGTGGTCAAATTATGTTGTCCTGAGAGCGATCATCGCCCAAGGTTTTGGTAAATCAAACTTTCCAAAAGCGGCAGAACATTTCAACAAATTAAATGATACTGATAAGGGAAATGATAGAAAATATTCTCCATTAAACTGGAAGGAGAATTCTCCTAAGAATCAGGCAAAGAAATCTGGCCTTACTCAGTTATCGGATGACTGGCAGGACATCAATACATTTAAATCTGCATTGGAAAAGATCGAATCCTGGATATTTTCCCGCATCATTGAGTCAGTGTGGTGGCAGGTCATTATTTCTGGGATTTTAATCTTTCAAGAGTTCCTGGATTAATTTGGTTCCTTGATATTCTTTTGCTTATACTATCTATAAATGAACTTGTTGAAGCTGTTGGTGAATGGCATATGGCTGGTTAGTTAAGAATATTCCATTTTCTGTCTTCTTCCAGACTTTGACACCATACATGCAGCCTTATAATGGTGAAGGTCTTGAAGGAAAATTTTGTTTGAACTTACACAGAAGCTTTCGAAGGCTTCCAAGCTTGGGTGATCAGCAGCAAGGAAGCTTTTCTATAAACCTTTGGAAGAAGGCCTTTGAAGATGCCTTTGAAAGGCTCTGTCCAGTGCGAGCAGGAGGGCATGAATGTGGCTGCTTGTCTGTACTAGCTAAATTGGTAGGGCAACTTTACTTTCTTTGATCATTGATGAAGTAAACGGTGGTCCTGGAACTTAGAATCTTAAAACTTTGTTCCTGTTTATTCTACTGGTTTGACTTGTTTAACAAAATTATATTTAACTTGGGATTAATAAAGTTGCTTTCTTAGATCCAGTACTGTAACCTTACAATAACTACTGCAATTATCTTTATTGAAATAAATATAAAAGGGGATTATATTCTAAAAAGGTGCATTCAGATGTCCATTCTGAAATTACTGATTCTAGTACCCAGTGATTGACAAAGGGAGTAGATTGTGCCAATTTTATGGACTTTTTTGTACGAAGACCCTCAATAACCTAAGAGCCCTTATTTGATGATTCCTTTATGTTTCAGGTTATGGAGCAATGTGTTAATAGACTAGATGTGGCCATGTTCAATGCCATTCTACGTGAATCAGAAGATGAAATGCCAACAGATCCTGTCTGTGATCCTATAGGAGATCTCAAGGTTCTCCCTATTCAAGCAGGGAATTTGAGCCTTGGTGCCGGTGCAAAACTCAAAACTGCTGTGAGTAAAAATGTTCCTGTCATATTGAATTGATTACCATTAAGTTTGATTCTTATTATCCCTTTTGTCATACCCGACAACTTTTTACAATGTAACTCACAGATAATTTCTGCCACTGTATATATGTTTAATATGTATTTGGGATATCCACATCCAGGCCTGCATTATCAATTCGAAATGTGTGGCTGTCTCATAGGCGGACTAAAATGACATAATACATAATATAGTAGCAAGAATGCAGTTGTGAACTTGCAAGCATTTCTTATGGACAATGTACCAAAAGGCAGGCCCACCATGGCACCTAGGTGGCCGATGCCTGGGCGCCTCGCCTAGGCCAGGGCAGCCCGCCCCAGGATGTTAAGGCACCTGGGCACCCTGCACCCTTAAGCAACATGGTTGCAGAGAGAGAGAGAGAGAGAGAGAGAGAGAGAGATTTGCGATTGATTTTTTTGAGTTTGGAGTTCTCAATAATTCATGATTTTTATTTGGAAATGGCTATACTTGCACTAATCACTCTTGAGTCATATTTCGTACTTGATCACCTGAGCAACATGCAATAATATAGTTAATCTCTCTCTCTCTCAATAATTACTTGAGAAGATACATGCTTAAACAAAGGGATAATTTCGTGTGAGGTGCTTGTTGTCATCATTGTAAGGACCGAGCTCCATTGTTTCTGTACTTCAGAGTTACTGTAGCAAGTAGAATTTAACCAGGGTGATACTCATTCATCTATGTTTGTTTCCATGTCATATGCAATTATTGTCATGTTGCTAAAATCTACAGATGACAATTTTATTGTCCAATTGCTATGTCATGCATATGAGAATTGGATCAAAAGAGATGATACACTAGGGATTGCTCAACTAAAATAACATTTGTAGTCAGGGTTTCAAAGAAAGGATCTAGGCCACATGCTAGCTTTTTGGCATAAAAATTGGATGGTCACTCAAAGGTACTTAGTATAAGTAGAGATATTATTGAATATGCATATATAAGCGGGTCAATGCACCTCTCAAACTGAGCATCAAGTTGTTTTCTTCTGATGATCATCATGCAATAGTTCATAGAGTGCTAGTTTGTGGGAAATTTTATTCATTTACTACTTGGCCTGACATTGATCATATTGTTCTAATATACAAAATATACAAGGGATCCCAAACAGTGCCTGATGACTTTTGATTGAATCATCTGTTATCTATGGGAGACACATGGATGGGGATTGTTGTTCTCCTCATCATCTTGCTTTTAGTTTGCATACGCAGATTGGGTAGTTCATCCAGACACTAGAAGATCAACTGTAGAATGTAGCATGTGTCTTGGCTCCACTTTACTCTTTTGAGTAAGAAATCTTATGTTGTTCCAAAATCGTGCCTGAAGCTGAGTGCAGAGCTGTCATCTGCTACAGGTGGGGATCATACAATTATGTCAATCATGAGACAAGTGTTAAGTCGGTGTATCTATCACAGTCTGGAGACTGTTAGTCCTCCAGATTGCAATGAACACTGCATACTGAGACATATAAGGACATTGCCCTTTTATTTGTCAGCATCTCGCATCCCGTGCCATTTCAATCCCGTGTACAAATAAATTGGCTATTCTCCTGATTCAACTAGTTGCAAGTTTTTTGTTGACAAACTGTGACTATTAGTTGATCTTCTTTGAATGATCTGTGAGTCTCAGATTGAAGGAATGCTTTGTGCCTCATACGTATTGGTATATTTGTAATTGCATATATAAGGAAATTTTGGACATCTGTGAGGGAATTTATGTTATTTGGCCTGTATTATATATGATGGTATTTTGTTCTCCACAGCACTATCCTTTTCTGACATTCACCATCCCAAGTATGAAGATAAATAAACTTCATTGTACTTGAGGAAAATCCAGTCCACTGAGGAATATCGCATTAGAGATAGGGCAGAATCATGTGATTTCCTCAATTTTCTGATTTAATAAACGGGCATTATCATTAGTTTATGTGAAGAAACAACAATGCTTTATGTCTTTGTTCGACTGTGTCAAATTATACTCTTTTGTGGTTATTTTATCGAATATCAGAAATGTCCTTGCTGTTTGTGGAATTTGTCTTTGCATACCAGAGATATATATATATATATATATATAATATGTTTGACCATTTTCTTCTTTTTATCTTTGCACAGGTGGGAACCTGGTCCAGATGGTTAACGGACCTATTTGGTATTGACGCTGATGACTCCCCTGCAGATGATGACGATCTTGATGATGACAGACAAGATACTTCAAAAGCCTTGAAAACTTTTCATCTTCTTAATGCATTGAGTGACCTTTTGATGCTCCCCAAAGATATACTCTTGGATCCATCCATCAGAAAAGAGGTTCAGCAGCTTTTCTCAATTCTTGTAGTTTGTCTGTGTTTATCTTTTGCTTGCTAACAAAATCATTCATTCCTCACTTTTTAATTTATTTAAAGGTATGTCCGACTTTTGGTGCACCGTTGATAAAACGAGTCTTGTGCAATTTTGGGCCTGATGAGTTCTGTCCAGATCCTGTTCCTGATGATCTGCTAGTGGCACTTGATTCAGAGGTACTATGGTACTTTCTCTGGTGGTTTGGCCTCTCATTTAAAATTTTAGAAGATTGCATGTTGCTCTTTTCCATTCTTGTACGCCATGTTCTTATATCCAGTAACAAAGGAGAAGACCCACCTTCTTGTAATTAGTTCCCATAAATATTACCTAGTGACAACTGACAAGGAACTTCCAAACTTACGAACTCTCTTATTTTCCAAAGCACCAGAATGTTCAAGCTGCAAAACCTACAGCAAAGTTGCAGCCATAGATGCAAATTGAGTCATGAACTGGAACCTGAATATTAGTATGGTGTTGGTATTCTATATTCATTATTGTGATTTTTTTTTTTTTGTGCTGATAAATTGTTGATAATGGTAAGTGCAAATATATGGTGCAGGTTCCACCGAAGCAGCAATTCGATGGCAGAAATGATCAAATCGGTGGTTTCCCATGTGTTGCTGCTCCCATTACATACTCACCACCCTTCGTGGCTTCTACTGGTGAGGTTGTAGGGGCTGTTGACTTTGGGAGGAGTCCTTCATCATCCTTGTTGCGCAAAGGCCACACGAGTGATGACGAGCTTGATGAATTGACCGTACCCTTAGCATCCATTATCGACAAGATTCCAGAGTCCCCGAAAGAGACATCCATGGAAAAGAGATGGAAAGAAAGAGGTCCAAATGTGCGATATCAACTTCTTCAAGATGTGTGGCTGGATTGACATCTGATACAATTTCTATTACATCAAATCGCTAGCTAGATCCCTGCAGAGGCCTGTTATATAATCATTCATTGTGTTAAGTTGCTGTTTTTCCCCAGAAAATCAGGTCACATGGTTGAGTTTAAACCACTAATATTGGGGCCCTATTTTTTCAGTAAAAATAATAAGCTGTATTTTCCATCTATTTTCTGTTGCCTTTCCCATTTGTAAAGCAGTAACAGAAGTCTAAAATGACAAGAGCTATAGTTTATTATTCCTATAATGGAATCCCCTATCTTTGTATTTGTTTTTTCTGTGACTCAATATTGGAAAGTGTAAGATTTCTCTTTTTTTATTATCCAAACCCCACTACCAAAACAGAAGGGGAAACAGTTATGAACATGATTGGCATTCTGCAGCCCTTCAATGCACATGAAATGAAGAACCAAACCAGAAATGCATATTTCGAGGACTTGGTGAGGTTCAATGGTAAAATGCGCATCCTCTGAAGAATTTTTTTGGGTTTGTATAGGAACTGCCTTTAAATTTTGCAAATTTCAGTGTTTTAATGGAAATTCTCAGTGTTTAACAAAATTTTGCACGAAATTTAAAATGGGATTTGCACTGGTTTTTCTGCATAAGGTCTAACATTTTTCCTTGATCGAATTCGTTTGCTGAAAAAAATGGGATAATGTTGAATGGAAGCAGTTCCATACGTTCATATCCTGCAAGAATTATAGAAATGTTAAGACCTTGATCAATACCAACACTGTCGGCCTTCTAGGGAAGAGAAAGTGGTGCTAAATATAGTAGAATAAAAAGCTAATTTGGCTGATATAATTCTTGTTAAACCTTGATCAATACCAACATTGTCGGCCTTCTAGGGGCCAGAAAGTGGTGCTAAATATAGTAAAATAAAAAGCTAATTTGGCTGATGTAATTCTTGTTAGACCTTGATCACTACCAACATTGTTGGCCTTCTATGGACGAGAAAGTGATGCTAAATATAGTAAAATAAAAAGCTAATTTGGATGATTTAGTTTTGGAAAAGCATACTGAGACCATTTACTTTAGGTATAAAAAGATTACTAACACTTTTGCTTGTCAAATTTCAAATCGAGTGGTCGTAAGATTATCATTGACTAGACTCGAGCTAAAAACAAAAAATCTTCAAACTTCTTGATACATCCCAAACAATCCAATTTGACATCTAATGACTAGAAATAATTGTGACCTAATAACAAAAATAAATGGTCCGAGTGTACAACCCCTGTAATGCTTAGGAAGAAGCATCCATTATAGCAGCTACCTCAAGTTGAGGCTTGAAGGCAAAAACCAGCCAATAAATCCTCTGAATTTTTATCTTTTAGAAAATGTAATCCTAACTAGGTTGTTTCCTAAGGTATGGGAGCATTCCATAGTTGTCTATTTACTATCAGTTTCCTCCCATTTCCTGCTTGTGTTCCCTTCCCCTAAAACCTCTTGTTCCTCATTTCCACTTTCTACTCATCTTGAGCCATGCCGCGCGGCACAAATCTTATCTTAAGCTTTTAAATCAGCATGCTTTGAGATTATAAGCCAATATTGATATGCAAATAGGGCACCTTGCCAAGTTATAGCGCTGGAAGAAACCCATAGATGGGCTAACACAAAATGCATGCATATGTGCAAATACATATCCATAGATAGCTCCTTCGCATAAGAACCACAAGTGAATAAAATCTCCCCTGTTTCACCTCTTGCTCACGTACGTATAGGTTACATATTGCAGTGCAAAATTGCAAACGACGATAAGACGATCAAAACCAAGACACAATCTGACATACATATTGCAGTTCAAAATTGCAAACGCTGATTAAAAGACCAAAACCGCGAGTAAAATCCGATGCAAAGCACGATTCTAATGCTACGAAATTTTACACAAGGAAAACTCATATACACTTAGATCATATGGTTGGCCAGAAAAACAAAATTAAGGGAAAGAAACGAAGGCAAAAACCCAAGAATAATGGCCCGCTCAAGCCGTTAACTTCGGAGAATCAATGTCTACATGCTCAAGCTGCAAAGCTGCCAAGAGGCCTTGCCATGTTTCGCCAACTCCCCCAGCCACTTTATAGTCTAAGAGCTTCTTCTGTCTTCTGTAGTAATCTTCAAGTGGTTTGCTCTGCAAAGCCTTCAAGGTAAGAGACCAATTCCCTCGGAGTATATTCAGTAATTTTTCAAATTAAATATCTAGAGCATTGGTTTGGGTTTATAAAAAGCTTCCAAACTTTACTAAAGCAAAGCAGTCTAAAAAGTCGAAATAAAATCCAAGCTCACATTTTCTTCTATGCTTTCTTCTATTTCCAAGGTTTATTGCTTACAAAAAACCCACCACCACCCAATTCCCGGAGCCAAGAACACTAATTCCTCATTCCATAAGAAAAGGATAATATGACACAGCCGTAAGCATGATCTATGCGTGTGAAGGTTAAACTAATGCCTAGGGCACCAAACAAATCAAAAGCAAGATCCAACAACTTAACATATTCCGAAAATCTCAATGTGGTTGGTTTTTTTTTGGGTAAGCAAAAAGAAGTGGTAAGTCTGTGGGGATTTGGGCCCCTACCCTTTGGTGAGGATGGAGTTAGAGAGCTCAAAAGAGTGGTAAGTCAGTGGGGACTTGGGCCCCTACCTTTTGATGAGAATGAAGTCAGCGACCTCGTCATGGAGTTCGGCAATACTACCGCCAAGCCCCAGGCCATTCTCAAAGTGGTAAGTCAGTGGGGATTTGAGCCCCTACCCTTTGCTGAGAATGGAGTTAGAGACCTCACAATGGGGCTTGGCAACACTACCGCCATGGCCTCAGGCCATTCTCACTCAATGTATTTGGTTTGGCTATTAACAAATGTAGAAGCCATTTAAGATTCATTGAAATAATGAGACATGTGACTATGATTTGGTCAGCCACCAAAGTATGAGTGGTAGAAACAAAATCAAGGCATGCCACCAGCTAAAATAATGAATCCCTCAATCTTTGTTTAAGAAAATCACAAGATATAGAAGTTAAAAAACTATATGTTTACAAACAAAATCCACTGGGCAGCAGATAATTGTATTATTTTCGAATTCATGTAGAGAACAAGGAATATTGGATTACCTGCTCTTCGTATATCTGGAGTTTCTCCCTTAAGGCATCCTCAGAATCAGAAGCATCAGTGGGCAGCTTCCCTTCACATCCGTGCAGCTCCTGCAAACACGTTTGTAGGCAAGGATTGAAACCGCTCTTGTTAAAAGATTTTCCACAATGTGAACAGAAGCTGCTTCCTAAGTGTTTCTTGACCAGACATTCCTCTGCACATTTGAAGTTCACAACCAAGTCGATATCTGCATTGTGATCAAGAATCTCCTGTGATAAATTAGAAAATCAATTAGGTCTTTGGTCTTCACAAGGATTCCATCCAAACAATGAGACTACAAATAAAATACCAAATCGTTTGATGCTTAGAAATACAATCCTAAAGTTCGCATCTTGTCAAAAGCATTGCAAGCAAAATATTACTAACTAACAAATTTGCAATCAGCCAGCCCTCCATCATTGGAGCCTTTCTACATATTCCAAAGGACAACCATTATTACAATGGTAAAAGACCATCAGTCCATATTAATTAGCTAATCACAAGCCAAACATATCGAAGGTTCAAATAGTTATCCAAAGCGATTCCGAAACCGAATCAATCTAAGAATTGGAATCAAGGAATCGCCACCGGTTTGAAGATTCCTGCTCCCGGAATCGACATCCGTACAAGAGGAATCATGGAAGACGAGATTCCTATTTTTAAGAATCAGGATTTGGCCAAAATGGATTCGAGAACCATACATAGATGGAATCGAAATTCCTAGCTTTTTGAAATCGAGTTTCCAACCTAGTTGGAATCGACAATATGGAATCGAGATTCCTTCATTCATGGAATCAAGCTAGGACTCTCAATTCCGTCTATATAGGTTCTCAATTCCAGTTTGATTGGGTCCTGATTCTTAAAAATAGGAAACTTGTCCCCCACGACTTCTCTTGTACGGTGTCGATTTTGGGAACAAGAATCTTCTAGTCGGTGGCGATTCCTCAATTATGATTCTTAGATCGATTTGGTTTTGGAATCGCTTCAGGTAACTATGGGTTCAAGAGCACCATCTACATTAGTTACTTCCAAATAGTCTTTCGGTGCCAGAATATTAGGTAGAGTAGCCAGCCAATAGCAGACAGCTTCTCATTCCAGCATGGACAGGAAGAGAATTTCCTATACATGGCCAGAGTTCCCAGGCCTACTTATAAGAACCTGGCTTGTTGATCCAGCATAGACAATAAGAGAGCTTACCAATTACCATACATGGCCAGAGGTTTTTTTTTGATGAAGTTACATGGCCAGAGTTTCCAGGCCTAATAAGAAAACCATGCATACCTTAAAGTTCTGTAAAACTAGAGCAATATTACAATACAACCACATAACCAGGCATTTACATGAAGTGCATTTGTAGGGGAAAGGACTGTCCCAAGCTTCTTCATATTCAGAAGCCAAACTGCCAATAATAAAAACTTTGACAACTATGCAAAACAAAACATGTTTAAGTAACTTACAGCTTGAATCCGAGTTCGAGGAAACCCATCTAAAATGAAACCAGTTTCCCCAACAAGATACCCCTGCTCTAGTCTCTCGGACAATAGGCCAAATATTATACTCTCTGGGAGGAGCTTTCCTTGTCTCATGGCATTTGATATCTGGAATTAAAAAATCGAAAGGTTATTGAGTGTACTAGCTTGGCAGAAAAAGTAAAAAAACCTATAAAAATCAAAATAAAAGGTAAAAAAAATTATTGAATAAATTTAGCATCTCTTGCAAAGAAAATCAGACTGCCAGTTTTCATCAACGCTCCTTGGTTGAGGAGTCTCAAGAGTTGTCACACAATATCTGAGCAATGACCCAATTGTCACAAGAGGTGAAATATAACCAAGGCATGATTTGTAAAGCAAGCAAAGGCAACAGGGTATCAGAAAAGGGAATGCTAGAGAAATGGTATGTCAGAGAAGTGCTGGAAACATGAATACTCGAAAGTGATTCAAAAACACTGAGGAAAAGCATTAAGCAACACCTTGGAGCAAGTTTCCGAAATTACCATTTGAGGATAATGGGATGCACAAGAGACACAAGATAAATAATAGAAGAGTAAAACAGGATGGTACACTTCTTAATGTGTTTTGCAAAGGCAATGACATTTAGCATGATGTATGCAATGAGTGGCTCGAGCCCCAATGGCAAGTTGTTGCAAGTTGGCAAATATTGATGTACAGAATCCAAAACATCTTGACGCACCTAAAACGACCGATTCTCTTACAAGCAGGAGAGTAAATCAGCTAGAATGCCTGCATACCGATTTGATTTCCTAACAATGGTGAAAGAGAGTCACCATTGAGGGTGACACGTGTACATGTGCTAGGACTGACCCCTATGTACCATAGAGTTGTAGTTGCACTAGGTCAGTGTGATCTTGGACTTGTCTCTAGGGGACAACATGTAATCCATAAATTGGCATTGTATCACCTCACCTATTTGCTAACTTTGGTAGCCCAATCATGAATCCCTGCGATGGTCTGTGGGTCATGGGAACTGCTTGGTCAGTTTGAGAAAGTGAGTGTGAATTATAGTCCGCAATAGAAGATGAAGTGCTTCAGTATATTTATAATTCCTTGACCTATTTACATCTGATTTTCATCAAAATTATTTAGGAATAATTATTTTGATGTTAAATGATAGTTAGATTGATAGTTTGAATTTTAGAAATCTCTAGATATTTTATTTTCTCAAAATGGATTTATAAATAGAGAGAAATTAAATTTTTAGTATTTTAAATATTCAGAGAGAAATAAAATAGATAATTTTTTCTAAAAAACATTTCCATATTTTTATAATTGGGGGCCCACCATACATAAGTGCGTGGGGTCCACATGAGGGCCCCATGGGTGGCACGCCCCACTTTGGGGTTTTCTTTCCATATTTTGGTGAGGCCATCTAAGGCACTCAATTGAGTTAAGAAAAAGGGAAAGTTTGGAAATTAAGAGATCTAATTTTCAAGTTTAAGAATGTGTAAGAAGAATATGGAAATAAGAGATATATGAAATATATTTACCATATTTCTATTATTTGATGGGATTAGGTTAAGGAAGCCAAAGGATAAAGTTCTAGCACATTCTTTTGAATCATGATGACTCATCTAAAGAGTGTATGGCTAAGATCTCTCACCCCAAAGGTCTCTTATGATTAATGGTCAGGATCTAATCTCCATAACAATGGCTAACCCTAAGAAACCCTAACCCTAGAGAAAGTCTAAAATAAGGGCTTATTCTCTACACATTGTACCCTCTCTTATCTCTTGGTGGTACGCTACCCTCTCTCATCTCTCTCTCTTCTCTCTCTTGGTGGTACGCCACCCTCTCTCATCTCTCTCGTGATCTCTCTAGTAGTAAGAAGAAGGGGCACGCCCATACTAAGGCATCGAAGCCTTACACTTTGTGTCATTGTTCCATTGCTTTCTGATTTGATTAAGGGTTATCACCTATGGTTTCCTATGCTTCAAAAATTTAAGATAAACCATTGATCCCTTGCGCCATTGGAGGAGGAGACCCGGTGTGAGGTGTTCAGAGTCCAGTTGAGGTAATCTTCTGGCAATATTCTTTATAGTTTGTAGTCTTATATTTTCTTGTTCCCATGAGTATTATGTGATTTTTGTTTATTGAATAAAAGAAGTTTTATTATTAGCAGCAAGTGAGAACCTCTTTTGTAATTGTTTTTTATTTATTTTGAGTTCATTTAATTGTAATCGAACCTTTGTAAATGTTTTAGTCGGTATAAAAAAGAAAATTTAAAAACCGCATATACCATGCTAGTTCACCTTGTCTTAATTTCATAAATAACACAAATATATGGGAATGCGTTTATCTGTATGATAGAGATAAAACTACTTCGTGTAGCATAATGACCTCTTCTTCTTTCTTTTTTTTCTTGAAAATAATTGACAGTATTTGGCATTAATAAAGATTGTAATTTGTACAAAACATGTCACGTCCCTATGGTAATATCATGACTAATTAATTAATGGAAATCAAGATGCTAACATACTTATAATGACTGAAGAAGAAAAAAGCTGATACTGGCAACAAGTAATGTCATTACTAAAAGAACATTTAGAGTTCAGAAAAATGAATATGCATAGCCATATATAAACAACAACTACAGCTATACACCTATAGTATTTGTTAAGTAACAACAATCGATATACATAAAGAAATGCACAAATAACATCAACACAACTTGCCCATAAATAAAAATTAAACAAATATTGAACAACCCAACTCCTGCAAAATTAGACTTAAGCATTCCTTGGTAAATGAGAAACACCCAACCAACATAGATGCTATAACTTAGGTCCTCATTTTGGAAAAGGCCCTAACTTCATCATCTTAACAGGGTCGTTCCCATAGAAGTAAGCCCCCATAGTAACATCAAGATCTTTCTTAGTCTTTAATTCACTCTCTCACCATGTAAATGGTGGATAAAGACAAGGCGCAGTAGTTGCCCCCCACCCCGAACCAGGTGAAGTTTCCATGGCTCCATCCATAACAAGAACAAACAATTCCAAAAAAAAAACTGCAATTAATTTTATGCCGTGTGGAAAGTTAATGGCCATCATTCTAAGGTCACAAATGAGCATATTGGCATTTAAAACAAACTGGTTGTATTCAAACTGGGGGAGGGAACTGATGAATAAACACCCACACAACGTGCTTTTTTCATGACCTGGTCCCAAATTTTTTCAAAAATGACCAAATTACCTATCCCCATCTTTTTGGCATATGATCTACCATGCTCTGCAGAAGCTTGGGCTTTGAAAGTGGGAAGACAGTGAACAATGATTCAAAAAGCGGACTGCCCAGCACCTAGGTGGTCCAGAAGGCTAGGGCGCATCGCCTAGGCCTAGGCGGCAGCCAAACTAGGCGAGCGGACCCTGGGCAGCTACCCAGGCGGTCGTCCAGGGGCGAAAATGGATTTTTTTTAGGGTAGTTTTTGGGTTTTTTTGAAAAAAAAAATGCTTTTACAAGTGGGTTTTAGGTTCATTTGAAACTTAAACCCACAAATGCGGCCATCCAGGGGCGGAAATGGATTTTTTTTAGGGTAGTTTTGGGTTTTTTTTGAAAAAAAAAATGCTTTTAAAAGTGGGTTTTAGGTTCATTGGAAACCTAAACCCACAAAAACCCATTTTAGAGAGAGAAAAACCTAAAAAAACTAGATTATATGATTTTCATTAGATCGAAATTTTTTTCAAAGTTACGGGAAATAGATCCAAACATCACCCATCAAGATTAGATTTAGTTTTGGAGTTTTTTTAATCATATTAGAAGGTGTTTTTGAATATTTTAGCACCAGAAAATATCTCAAATGTGGAAGTTTGGAGTTCGAGCAATCAAAGTAAATGCAAAACTTTATTTTTTAGATTGCTTGTATTATTTTGAGATGTTTTCTTCAAGATTTAGTCGAAGTGGTGATCCGGGTTGGAAATATAGATATAACCCGAATCCGAATGACAAAAATTGCATAAGATGCAATTATTTGAAAAGGATACAAATGGGGGCATAAAACTGGTTTAAGAAACCTCTTGCCGGTATTAAAGGGAATGTTGCCCCTTGTAAAATTGTTCCTGAAGCTATCAGATAGGAGATTAACCAATATTTGAGTTCAGTAAAACACAAACAAGAACAAAATCCTTGTCATTTGGATATGTCTATTTCTGGTTCTGCTAGAAGAAGTGATCCAGGTTGGAAGTATGGTCATGACCCGAAACCAAATGATAAAAATTATATAAAGTGTAATTTTTGTGAAAAAGATACCAATGGGGGCATTAACCGATTCAAGAAACACCTTCCCAGTATTAAAGGGAATGTTACTTCTTGTAAAAAAGTTCCTAAAGCTATTCAGGATGAGATTAGACAACATTTGAATTTAATAGAACCAGAAAAGGATGAAAATGAGCCTTGTTCTATGGAAATATCTTCTCCAGATGCTTTAGAAGTGGTGATCTGGGTTGGAAGTATGGTCATAACCCGAATCCAAATGATAAAAATCGTATTAAATGTAATTATTGTGGAAATGATACTAATGGGGTATTTACCAATTCAAAAAACACCTTATTGGAATTAAGAGGAATGTTGCCCCATGTAAAAATGTTCATGAGGCTACCAAGGTAGAGATTATACAATATTTGAATTAGGAAAGCACAAAAAGGTAGAAAAGGATAGAGCAGCCAAGACTCTTAGGGCCTCATCTGCACAGAGTAAGAGGGTGTAGAAGAAAAGGACGAAGAGGCAAATTCAAAAGAAACAGAGGACGAGCATTATGCTGAAGAGGGAGATGATTCTTCTAATGATGGCCTAGAATCTGATGCATATGATGAGGCTTACCCTACTCCTTCTGATAATAATGATGATAACTGAAGAATGAAGTGTTGAAGACGCTTAACTCTTGGTGTTGATTGTTGACTATTGAGTCCTAGACTGTATATTTTCTAAATTTCTGTATATTTTCTTTTTCTTAATTTTAGTTTCTAGTTTCTAGTTTCTACTGTCAAACTCTTGTGTGTATTTGTATGGTTGTAGCATTGTATGAAAATATGGATTATAGACTATCAAAATTCTCCTCATTCATAAAAATATCAAATATGGATTATGTGTTATATACTTATACTTTTAGATTTAGTATATAATTACGGATAAAAATCATAAAATTCTATTTACTTAAAAAAATCATAAAAATTCTAACAGTCGCCCAGGTTCTGGGCCCTGCCTAAGCGCTAGACGGCTTGGACCCCACGGCTGCTTAGGTGCCGCCTAGTGCTTTTTGAAACAGTGAGAGTGAGAAAAAGAAGCCCCACACAAAATGTTTAATTACATTATAAGAACAAATATAAAGGTAAAAGCACAGCAGCTTATGAGTCAACTCAGAATGGAAAAGCCTAGAAAGATTACAAGAAACCAAAAGAAACATTTTCATTATCTTTTTCTTTTGTTTTTTTTTTCAAAAGAAACAGAAGCCAAAATTCGGGTAAAATTGCAGGATATACTCACATAAATAATAACGAAAATCAGAATAAATGCAGAATAAAGTTGACGAAAGAAAAAGAAAGGGGATGCAGAATAAATTTTGATACAGGAAAAGGGGGGAAAGTGCAGAATCAGTGGATTAAAACACAGAATAATTTGCTCCTACAAATAAATATAACATCACAATAAATAAAATAAATAAATAAATTATGTAATGACAGGAACGCGAAAATCACAAAGAGAGAATAAGCAAGAGAGAGACAAAAAAGAAAAAACACAGATGATCAACGTCAACCGAGAGGAGAGATAATAAAAAAACGAAAGAGAGAGGAATCACAAATGACACAAAGAAAGACAGAGAGAGAGAGAAGCAGGGTACCTGCTTTGACAAGGGGAGGTGCTGCCTAACGAGGGAACCCATGGATATATGGGGAACGCCAAGCAGTCGAGCGAGGTGCCCCGCATAGAGCCTCTTCTGAACCCCGGGGCTGCCAATAAGAACCCACTGCACCCCTCTCACTCTGCCACCATCAGCCCAACCCAAATCCGCCTCCGCCACCGGAATCCTGCTCGACTCCTCCTCAGAGTAGTAATAATGGTCTTCTGAGGACAGTTGAAGGGCGGCAGCGGCACCATAAGATCGGCGGAAAGACGCCATTGCCGCTGCTGCGAGGCTGCGGCAGGAGCGTCGTAGTACTGCTCCTCCCAACATTTTCCCCCTTTCTCTTTCTTCCACTCTCTGCGCGCGCAGCAGCTGCAGGCAGGAGAGAGAAACTTTGCAATGAAACTCAGTCTCGGAAGCAGACAGAAAGAGCGTTGCTATTGGATTGAAACGTGGGTTTTAAAGGATCTCTTTCTCTCTCGTGGCTTCACTCTCTCTCTCATCGCTCCTTAGGGTTTGGAACGAACCAACCAATCTCAAACGGAGGACACGCTCACACACACATGGACTCTCTCTCTCTCTCTCTCGAAATGTCCTTTTGGTAAGGAAAGTTATGTGCGTCTGAGCCCGCACATGTCATTACGCGGGCTCGAAGATCTACACCATCTACCAAAATGGATATGTAAATAATAGTCATATGAAAAAATAAAAAAATAAAAATAAATAGTTTTTTAAAAATATCATTTTTAATTTTTAAAATTTATTTATTTTTATAGATTAATAATCAACATATTAAAGATTAGGATAATATTCTATTTGAAAAATAAATTATTAGAGGGCTTGCATTCCTATATGTGAGTTTGTGGACTCTGAAGGATGCAGTTTCTATGAGTCCACGTAGAAATGAGTCACCTTTTAGAAAAGGGTGTGGTTTATATAGAACCTAGGCTCTGAACCATCAAATTAGAGCCTACCTTCAAATAGTATCAAGAAATGTGGTTTCAACACTTGAAATCTTTGTGATAGCCTTAAAATATATTTTCATTTTTATTTATAAAGTTTAAAGCTTCAAAAATAGTGTAGATCAATAGATCTATGAAAACTTGAAAATCATGAAAATTGACAGTCCAAAAATGCATTACAAAATTCCCTATTTCCAAAACTTGAAATCTATTTTTCTTCCATGCTTATGCATCTTGATGTCGAGATAATCAATTTGAGGATATTTCAGCATCAAAGCAACATCTTCTAGTGAAATTTTTGAGGTAGGCTCAAATTTGATTGTTTAGATCATCGGCTTTACATAAAAATTTCTCTTTAGAAAATCTATTTTTTAGATGGATTTTTGGACTTTATTTTTAAGAGCATGTAAGCTCTAACATGGAGATCATGTATATGAATAAATAAATAAATTTTTAATAATAAATAATAATAATTCTATTAAAAAAATATTTGGACGGCTTGTTTGCATCCATTTTTAAAATGGATGCTTTACACCTCGGGAACCACAATTGTAGAAATGCGGTCCCTGCCACCATGAAACAGTTTTCTCTTGTAGAAACTGTGTTTTCCCTTGTAGAAACTGTCCTTTTGGTAATTATCTGCAAGGAATAAGGGAGGCTTGAGGTGAAAATAACGAATAAGAGCGTCTACACTATACTACTTCCCTCAATCAGAAGTCCTACTAGGAAGGATTTTTTAATATTAAAATCTGAGAATCACACAAGAGTTACTAGATGATCGTTTTCAAAAAAAAAAAACCTTGAATTTTTTCTTCTATTAAAATTCATATATTTGCTTCTATCAAAAAGAAAACAGAAAAAACTTCAATTTTGACTTGATTAACACTTAAATCTCGCCCGTTTAAAAATTGGACGGCCTCTACTTAATCTTCACACATCACTTTTTCTAAGGGCATATAGAGAGAGATTTGCAAATTCTTTTTCTCTATGGAGGTTAGCATATGGGTTGAAGAGGCTAAATCCCCAAAATTTGGGCCTTAAGTAGCTCCATTTGATGTTGCCTGAGGGAGTAAACAGATAGTATATCCCGCCATAGTAGAAATTCTTTTGGTTTGAAAATTTGAATTTTGTAGCACTTAGATCATGTCATCTAAAAAGTAGATGGTCTGTATTCCATCTAAGGACATTATTTCTTTTATATGTATAGAGAGTATCATTAGAGAAAAAAAATATTTATTGAGGTTAGTGTTACATCCCCAAAATTTGGGGTCCAAATTAATTCTATGCGGTATTTTACCCGAGGGAGTAATTGCACATTCTACTCCTGCATGGAGTATCTTTTAGCAAAGTAGGACGCATCTCTATATCTTGGCAAAAGAAGTAGTTTTGATGACAAAAACTCCTATGCTGACCTAGAAACCTATTTTTCTACCATTAATTATGAAATTTAGAGCTCCAAAAATAATGCATAGTTCTCTAAACAATTTAAAATTTTAAAAATGGATGGTCCAGATATTTTACTTTAGGAAAAAGTTTATATAGAGTTGAAAGCTCTAAACAATTAAATTAGAGCCCACCTCAAAAATTTCACTAGCAGAGGTTGTTTTGAGGCCCAAATATTGATCATCTCGATATCAAGATGTATGGACATGAGAAAAAAAAATAGATTTCAAGTTTTAGAAATGGGTGCAGTTTGCATACGGATGCATCCATAGGTTTAGAGGTAAGGTGCACCTTCAAATTTTATAATGGTATATAATTTTGATGTAAAATGTTCTTAGGATTATCTCAAAATCTATTTTATATCTAATTATAAAATTTTAAATTTAAAAAATGGTTAAATCAAGTAGATCCATAGACATATGAAAATCTTGAAAATGGACGGTGTAAGTAATATGTTGCAAAATGCACCATTTTTTAGACTTAAAATCTTTTTATTTTTCATAGTTATACATCTCGATGTCGAGATGATCAATCAAAGGGTTTTTCAACATTAAATCTACCTTTACGGATGGATTTTTTAGGGGCATCGGTAGTTCTACATTATAAGGTAGCATCCTTATATAAACTTTTTTCTTTAGAAATAGTGCATCTTGTAATGCATTTTGGACTATCTATTTTCAAAATTTTTAAGTTTTCATAGATCTGCTCAATCTACACTATTTTTTAAGTTTTAAATTTTATAGTTAGAGATAAAAAATATATTTTAAGGCTATCACAAAGATCTCCAATTGAAATCATATTTCTTGACACTATTTGAAAGTGGGCTCTATTTTGATTGTTTAGAGCTTTAGCTCTATACAAACCACACTTTTTACTTTAAAGTGCATTATGTTGAAGTGCATTAATTTTTAAGCTAGGATGTTTTTTTCTCTTTCATATCCATAAATCTCAAAATCGAGATCAATTGTGGGATTTTTTGACATTAGGGCAAACATCTTGCTTCCATAATATAAAGTAGACCTTTATATGAACGTTTTCCTTTACAACTATTCAAGTGATTCACTGTTTCATAGATGGAATAGACGGAACATGAGCACATCTTAATACATTGATGCTTTATGAAAGACCAAAGTAGGAGAATCTATAATTATTTGTGAAATGTTTTAAATTATTTTAGAGTTGTCTATAAGCTTTATCTTTTCTACATAGATGTTACAATCATTCTTATCCTTAAAATTTTAAAATGAGTAGTTTTAAAGTGTCATTGAATAAACACAAAGTTCAAAAAAAAGAAATTAGAACTTCGTGACTCTCACCAAGCTACCTAATTTGATATCTAATGAGTGAAAATGATTGTAACCTCCATGTACAAAAGATAAATGGTTTCTTTATAGACAATCCCATGAACAAAACCTAAGCCTATAACACAAAGCACATAGTTTGTGCCATAGGGTGGATGAATTGAGGCAATAATCATGATAACTATTAAATTTAAAAATGGAATGCTCTCAACTCATCCAAAAAGTTGTGGATTTTTTGTGTGATCTATACCACCTATGTCTTTAGACTTGTTAGAGTATTCATTTAAAAAATATGACTATGTCATTTTTTTTCATTAATAAAACTTCACTTCATAGTTAATTTTTTTGATAATTTATCGGTTGCTTCATTTACAAAATTACAGCTCAAACCAAATACATTTTTCCAACATCCCCTGAATTGTAAACAGAAAAACCAAATGCAGTTTTGTCCCTTTTCAGTCGACCAACCCAACACCCTGCTAGTCATGCCAATTCCAAGTTCGTTAAAGAGGCAGGTTGGGTTAAGTAGGCAGCCAACCTAAAACTTTGCCACAACTTTTTATGAATATAAATCTACGTTATATGCCCACACTAGGGTGTTTTTTATAAGCGGCTTATTTGGATATACAATACAAAAATTCATTGATTCCATACAATTATTTCCATGTTCATTGTTTGGTAATCAATCTAATTTTGAGATATTTTCTCTCTTTAAATTTTGATGTGGCTTCTCTCTAAAATTTTAGCATACTTTCTCTCTCTAAAACTTAAAATTTGAAATAGTTACTCTCTCTAAAATTTTAAGATACTCTCTCTAAAATTTAAAATTTTGAGAGAGTTTCTGTCTTTAAAAATTTCAAGTAGTTTCTCGCTCTAAAATATGATATAGTTGCTCTATCTAAAATTTTAAGATACTTTTGTTCTCTAAATATTAAAATTTGACATTGTTTATTTCTAAAAATTTTGAGATAGTTTCTTTCTAAAATTTTTCAAATACTTGGTCTATCTAAAATTTGATATAGTTATTGTATTTAAATTTTAAGATGCTTTCTTTCTCTAAAACTTAAAATTTGATATAGTTTCTCTCTCTAAAACTTTATATTGTTTCTCTCTCTAAAATTCCGTTAGACTCTCTCTCGAAAACCTAAAATTTGAGATAATTTCTCTCTTTAAAATTTTTAGATAGTTTCTCTCTAAAAATTTCAAGTAATTTATTTAAATTTTGATTTAGTTTCTCTTTTAAAAAATTTAAGATATTTTTTCTCTATAAAACTTAAAATTTGAGACAGTTTCTCTATCTAAAATTTGATAGTTTCTATTTCTGAAGTTTTAATATACTTTCTCTCTTTAAAACTTAAAATTGGATATAGTTTCTCTAAAATTTAATATAAAGTTTCTCTAAAATTTAATATACTTTCTCTCTCTAAAATTTGAAGTTTCAATATACTTTCTCTCTCTAAAATTTGAAGTTTCAATATACTTTCTCTCTTTAAAGCTTAAAACTTAAAATTTGAGAAGGAAGGTGGGTTTTTGCATTGGGGGTACTTTTCTTCCTAGAAAACTTCTTACCTGAGAGGTTGGATGAAAAAATAGATGGCTTTGGATTTAGTAGTATACCTTAAAAACTATTAAGGTGTTTGAGGGTGGGCATGACTACAATGTTTCAATGGGGTATCTATAATTTTCCCCGAAAGGCAAAATTAAGCAATAATAAATTGGTGATTCATAATGAGTGTGAGGGATAAAAAAAAAAACACTCTTTAATATGGTTGAAACTATTTAATGTGGGGATATAAAGCAATTTTAGAGAGTTTTCTACTAAAAAATCCTAAAGCAATAAGAA